ATATATATATATATATATATATATATATATATATTAATAGAAATTCAACAATCATATTAAATCTAAAAAATAAAAGGATATGAGGTTGGGTTGAGTTCAAATAATATCAACCCAATATCTATTGTTTGACAATTTTACAACTCGATTAGACATCGGGTTGTTTCAAATTGGGTTATGGGTTGATTGAGTTGGTTGGGTAAAGCTATACTTGATTTGACTTTGAGCTCTTTGAATAAATTCGAATAAGCTCGTACTTAGTAAAGTTTACCGGGAAATCGACTTGTTTTATTATATTCAACCGGCACAACCATTTTTTGTCAATTTAACCGAGCATACATCACTTAAAAAGCGGATTCATTCTTAAGAACCCTAAATCTTTTCCCTTTTTAGCTCATACCAAATTCCGTCCTTGAAAATAATGATGATACAGGAGTTGATTGATGTAAAAAGAACCCATCGAATTTAGTTACATATGATTTGTATTTGTTTTCACACCTTGTTTAATTTTGTCTGTATGCAATATAATGTGCTAAATGGTATAAAGGTGCCGCCTTGCCGGCATCAAAATAAGCAAGCTCATCCACCGCATTTCCGAGCAATTCTCCGGCGAACTCCTTCGCCCTTTCCAACCCCATCAGCTTCGGATACGTCGCTTTATCCCTCAACAGATCCTTTCCGGCCGTCTTCCCCAGTTCCTCCGACGACTTCGTCACGTCAAGTATATCATCCACCACCTGAAACAACAACCCAATACACCTTGCGTATTTCCTCACCCTCTCCACCTCGCCGGAGTTCCCACCACCCAACACCGCCCCACCGACCACCGCGGCCTCCAGCAGCTTTGCTGTCTTGTGAATGTGAATGTACTCTAACTGACTCAAATCAACATCTTTCTTTCCTTCACTACAAAGATCAACTATCTGACCTGCTACGAGCCCTAAAGAACCCACCGCCGACCCTAACTCCCCTATGGCCTGAACCACTCTCCCTGGTCCCACCCCTACGGTTCGAGTCGCCAAATGCTCAAATGCTAGCGAAAGTAACGCATCACCCGCTAGGACCGCAGTCTCCTCGCCATACACCTTGTGGTTCGTGGGTTTGCCTCTTCTCAAATCATCATTATCCATGCATGGAAGATCATCATGAATGAGTGACATGGTGTGGACCATTTCGACGGCGGATGCCATTGCCATGGCACAAACCTCCATCCCGCCAACAAGCTCACACGACGCTAGGCATAGAACAGGTCGAACTCGTTTCCCTCCGGCAAGCAACGAATACCTCATTGCTTCATGTATTTTCAACGGTTCTTGCAACGGCACGGCTTCTTCCAATGCTTTGTTAACGATCTTTGCCTTTTCGGTCATATAGGTATTGAAATTGAACGCTTTTAGGGGTGCGAATCGGACCAAATTGCTTTCGGGCAGTAATTGTTGGAGTATGATTTGGGGAGGAGACGAAGAGGCATGAATTCTTAGAGGAAGGCAAGTTCTTCTTGGACATTTGGTAGAATTTTTGGGGAGATTGGTGAAGATGTTTTGAAGGTATAATGAGTTATCCTTAATGGAAAGGAAAGAAAGAAGAGTCATTTGTAAGTGTAATAGGTTTTAATTTTATTGTGAATGCTTTGATGGATATGAGTAGTTATAAGGAAAAGCTATGAAGATGCTGTTTTGTTTTTTTTGGGTTGCTCTATTTCTTGAAAATATGCGTTTTTTAAGAAAGGTAATCGTATAATACAATGAAATATATCTTGATTTTAATGTTTTATTTTATTCATGTTCTTTATAGATATAATACGGTTTTATGTAATTTTTAGAAAACGATAATATTTTTATTTTTGAATTAAATATAAATTTAAAAAAATATATATTTCGACTTATATTAAATGAACTATTTAAGATCTCGTTTTTTGTGTATAAAGAAAGTAATTTTTTTAATAATATAATTTTTATAAGATTGATAATTAAGTATTCTGTTAGAACTCAATGTTTATTTAAATTATATTTTAATTTTTTATATCTAAAATGAGATGTTTATCATATATTTGATTATGTTTATTTGCAGTTAGTTATAAAAATTCAAAAGTACAACTTTAATAAGTTGTACTTACGTACAATATACTTGTAATATTGAATTTTAAGTAATATATATACATCAATAAGAGTACTTTATGCATAAAAAATGGTTTTTAAAAGTTTTTACAAATACTTTATAATATAGTATAAATATGTATTTAAATTTGTTGTGTACATGCCTATGCCTAGGCAAATGTAAACTAAATATAAAGATTTAATACAACTTTTTATTGAATAAAAACATCCAAAGCTTATGGATTATAATTAGTGCTTAACATTTAATCTGTATTAATTTAATAATGCTTCTATCGGTTAGTTTTAAATAGTTCAAACGTGAAGTTCTAAGAAATCATATATATACAATGATAAATTATAAACTTGAATTTAATAAATCTACGAGTTTCAGTCAATTGTCCAACCTAATTAAAATAAATCTCTTTCTTTTGAAAGATCGATATAATCATATAATATGTGCAATAATAATTAATAAAACTCAGCTGAATTAAACGTAAAAACTTAAATTCGTAAAGTGATATACATACATACATATATGTATATAGACTCGGGATTGTGTGAGATCAGTCTATTTTCTTTAGACCCGTGAGGATATTTTTTTACACTTAAAATTTCACAGTAAAACATTATAAAGCTAACCTTCACAGTGTTTTTTCATATGAAGATTCAGATTTTTTTTACCATCATAATATTTTGCTTTGAAATTTTAAGTGTAAGAAGGGTCTCGTAAAAGCAAGTTGGTCTTGCATGAATCCAACCCTGTACACGTATATTTTGTAGAAACTATATAGAAAGTTGAAACTAAGATTAAACAATAAAATCGACGGATGATGGTGGTTTGCATGGTATGTACAAATATGAGTGATTTGCATTTAATTGCTCCCACTCTCTCTCTCTCTCTCTCTCTCTCTCTCTCTCTATATATATATATATATATATATATAGGGGCCTAATTAAATGAGAACTAATTAGTTTGTGGTAACAGTGAGAACCAATATTAACCACAAATCAATAGATAAATTAGGAAATTTATAATTTTGGCAATTTTGAATTAAAATATTAATGCAAGGATATTTTTGGTATT